TTTGTTTAGCTTGCTTTTCTGACATCTTAACAGAAAAGTCAATATAATTCCCTTTTAAGTCATCGGTGGGCTGCCTGACAAACATTTCTTGTACAATTCACAACAGTTATTGAGCAGCATTGGCTTCTGTTTGTACTCAAGTCTGAATTTGAGTTTTTGGCCATATGGCAAAGTTTATGCCAGAAAAGATGTTAACTGCAGCAGCTTCAACTGGCAAAAACCGTAGTGCTCTAATTAATGTTGTACTTAATTAACGCATTACAAATCAATCCGAACAGCTGTCTGGCAGAGATGTCCCTGTACACACGAGAGTGGGTAATGAGAGAAAACCCGGGATTTTATGTCCTTAACTCTTCATCATATCTCGTTCACATATGACAAACCGTATTTTGGTTTAATTAATCTATAATTAGCTGAAATAAATGGATGAATATCAGTTGAACAGGTAAAACAGTCTTAATTACAACATCTGCCTTTTTTTAAACTTTTATTTTGTTGAGCTGCTTTGATATGTATAATATTTCAAAAAAAAAAAAAAAAAAAGTCAAAATATGTTTGCAGGATTTTTGTTTAAGTAAATGAATAAAATTCACAAACCCTTAGCTCAGCAAGTACTCATAATGGTAAAGACTCTGGAAGCGTGCAGCCAGGCTTGTAAATTTAACTCTCGTAACAGTTAGTGGAGACCACCTACTGTCTTTTTAGCTGCAGAACCTGCACTTTACCAGCCAGTTGCTGCCAACTCCTTTGTTGAGAAGCAGTACAGTGGATTTTGTGAGATAATTCACTATTAAAGCAGCAGGACTGAACTAAAGCAGTAAAATAGATATGACATCTAAACCATGAAGGTGCAGGTTCAGATTATAACACAGTTCATCGATTCTGGTGACTCCTTTGAGATCATCCTAATGTCTTCTTTATTTCATTGAGTCAAAAATTGCTTGGGGGGGGTGCATTATCTGCAACAACACAGAATCCTAAGAGAGATACCAATAAAGACAAGAGTACTTACTGAAGTCTAAGATATACAGGTCTGAATGATCCATGAGGTTAAATTCATCTCCCATTCCTTGCTCTGGACAGGGGCTGTAAAGAGAAAAGTAATAGGGTTAGAGCGATTCTATAAACTTCCTGTTTCATGAGCACAATTCACACAGCTTACAAAGACTGTAAGCATCACTCAACTACTTAATGCGACACACACTTCATAGAATTCCAGCATTGGACTCTCAGTTATTTATCTCATTACATGAATCAGCTGGGACCATAATCAGGGAGCCACAGACTGTCTTAAATAAGAGCTATCACACAGCTCTCCTTATCATGGGTTGCATGATTTAGGTCCACAGGAAGTGGAGCAGTCTTGTAAGACAGACTGGCCAATGCTGATAGTCTCCCAGACCTGAGCAACCATAGATATCACTGCACATCTGTTTCCTGCCACAGTTAAGCACATACACCTGTGACACCTGGTGCACCACAGCTTAACAAGCCCAAACTATATACCTGTTAAACCATTCTTTTAATTACCTTTTTTAGGTAATGTAGCCTGTGAGTTCAGATTTATTCGCACATATAGCAAGGTAGTACATATAGCTTTCCAAATGCACTCTGCACACGACTGCTTTATATTCATAATGTAACAATAAAACTCATCTAGAAGACAAAACTACACTTTAAATTTAAATTCACCAAGCCGTTTGCGTTCTATGGAACCGTTAAGGAGAAAGTGTGAAATGCAGAAGCCAAGTTTTAAGAGTAAAATCAAGATGCTTTTTGGACCAGCTAGTGATTGGCATCCCAGACATTACCACAGGAAGAAAAAAGTAAAATGAAATTGTTGGCAACAGATTTGTTGCAGTTTTTTGCATTTACAATTTTCATCAGTCTCTTCATCTTTCATTCTTGCCTTGAACCATCCTCTTGCTGATCTCAATGCACCGTCTCGCCACCACCCATCAATCTCTCTCACCCTTTCCTGCTGTCTTCTCCATCGCATCTTCCTTTCGCTCCGTGTTCAGGATGTTGTAAGGGTTTTACGTTGCTAATCTTCCCTAAACAAACACGGCGGTGGCCTAAAGCAGCCAGGAGAGATGCAGAGCACGAGCTCCGTCGTCCCAGGGGGCCAGCTGGGGAAGTCATTACGCCCCCCGCCCCCCAGGAGGTGACCCACCCGGGCTTAAAGTGGGAGCCTTTATCAGAATACTCACCCAAGCTCTAACATTACTGTGGTGATTGAAAGGGTACATTTCAATAGTGGTGAGAAACACTCACTCTAATGTATGACACACATGTGAGTTACCTGAAACTTTAAAACTACCACCAGAATTAAATTAGCACAAACATCCCTCATGTGAGAATTAGTATTGATGATTAACTTTAAACAAATTGCTTCGATATGACTCATTAAATCAGTCTTACAGCTGTTTGTTTGTTCTTTTTTTCCCCCAATCATCCTTAAAAACAAAAACAAAAAAACAAAAACAAAAACACCATGCTGTTGGGTGGCATTGCCGTATTCAGTCAACAGTTTGTTTTTTTTAAGTGCATCATTCTTAAGTTAAGCCAGGTAACAGCATTTGTTTAACATAAGAAACAGTATGATATAGAAAAATTCTACTAAAAAACTACTTGGGAGTTTTAGATACCACATGTGTGGAATGGACATATATCAGCAACCTGGCTACACAACAGAAGTAATGAAAAGCAACATCTCTATCTAAAGAGCACCCCGCAGTAGCTGTGAACTACTGTGTAAACCCGTAGGGAGGGTATCGGCCTTGGATGCTGACGCGTGAAAGAGTACAGATAAGGGAATGTTTTAACACGAGAAACCACAGAGATGAAGATTGCATCCACTGGGGTGTGGCTTCTTTGGATGGTCGTGGATAATGCAAGTCAGGGTGTGAAATTCAGCAGAAAATTAGGGAATGGTAATACTTTATGGGTCACAACAAAGAGAAAAAGGGCTGAAGCAGACTATGGAGGCAGCGGCAATAATGGCTGTCTGACGCACTATTCGGAAACGGGAAAGTCACAGTGTGTGACTTTATGTGGCATCCTGGTGTTTGATGGGCCACTTTGTTACTTGATCAGCAAAGTATCACTATGTGTGAAAGTGCTCCTCCCCCTACAGCATAGTGGTTCCCAGTCTGAATGAGGCCTTAGTGATGCCGCCCCCCCACTAAAACAACACTGATTGCTATTTCAAACAACACTCAATGAGGGCGTCTAATCACCTAATTGCCGGTCCTCTCTAGCAATGCACTACCTGCTCCACTTCATTATCTTACACACCAAGGTTTCAAAAGTGTAGAACAAAGAGTTGAGCTACAGTCCTAAAACTAATGAAAAGACACCAAAGAGCCGAGGACTATTTCAAAGTGTCGAAGAAGTTAATTGCCCACAATTTTTGCAACTTACTTTCAGAACCAACACTGAAAACGAAGTGGCGAAGAAAAGATTTGGATCTGATAGAAATTCTATTCATGACACCTCTGCTATCTCAAAACAAATAGAGTCAACAATATACCTGGAACCTGACCTGTCGTAAGCATGTTTTAAGTGGCTTCATTGGGCATATCCTCATTCTTGGGAGTGATATGATCTGCATCCCTTTCCTTTCTCCACTTCCTATTGAACTTTGGTCCAACAGAACCATCTAACTCACAGGAACTCATCATGCACTACAACTTCCTGTAGAGGACTTTATCAGGAGAGCCAGACTTGCACATTATTGCTGAAACACCTTGACTGAAAACACATGAAAGCAGCGAGAACAGTTTGTGATGCGCTTTCAACATTTTAAAATTACTTCTGATATGATGGGCAATCCAGGTCCTGACTGGTAGGTTATATTTGTTAAAAAAAGAAGAAAGAAAAAAAAAGTTTAACTGTTACTGTCATTCAGACAACAGTACAAGCTAAAAATTATTAAAATTCAATACATTAGAGTATAGACAATGCTTGGTCATGTCTATTAACTTTACCCAAGGTAAAAAGCAAAAGCATTTAAAATGTAATGAAACAATCTATATAGACATTATCCAATAGGAATTTAAAGGATTGTTAAGATTCCAGCAAGAGTTGGTAATGGTCTTGGTTATCATTGCTCAATAGATTTCTATTCAATGCTTTTGGCTTAATCTCTGCTGTCTCAACTCGTCTTACCCAGCTATCTGTGCCCCCTCCTGGGCAGTGGCTGGACAGTGGATTAAGACATAGAGCTGCCCAGACCTATACCCCATGCAGAGGGTGAGATACAACCTGTAGCTGGCTCCCTGTGAGACAAATAACTGACTTTAGATTAGAAAGAAGAGATGCCAACCCCTAATGAAGCATGCAACTCAAATTTCAGTCTCTCTAGATAAAATATAATTGCACTTAGTGATAATACTTAAAGGCACTGCAAAGCCAGAGTGGTTAGTAATTTGGTCCCTTGGTCCCAGGATGGGTTCTTATCAACCTAGCTACCTAGAAAAATTAGGGTGATTAAAAAAAAAACAAAAAAAAAAAACCAAAAACAAAAAACATTTCTCACAACTCTCAACATAACTGGTTTTCAAAGCGTTTGTCAAATGTTTAACTGCCAGATTCATTTTGGAAAAAATATGTTATTTGGTTGATTTTGATACACTTCCATTTACATACTAATAAACACAGTTCTCATAGATCATTATAACATGTATTAGCTCACTGGTTAACTTTCCATCAGTGCACTGCTTGAGCAATTAGTTCTTATAGTACTGCTATAAGAGTACTCCATCATTTTCCAGAAATATTAATTTTAATGTAAAGCAGCACTGTTTAAAACACGACTTGCTGATTAAAACATCAGACATTATTCTGTTACACAAGTTGACTGCTGGGCTTTTCTTGTAATTTACTACTTAAATAGCTTCAGCACAAACTCCAGACTATGTAAGGAGGATCACAGTCCATAGTTGTCTTTTCCCCTCACATGCAGCACATGGCAGGAGATACCCTGCTTCAGACCTGCCCGAGTAGTGTGTGCGGGAGGCAAGTAACACTTGTCGAGTGAATTCCCTGGCCTCCTCCCAGCACCACTCTCACATGAGGGCAAATCAGTGTTGTCAAACAGACATTGTACTAGGCTGCAGAGACTTACACAGAGCATTTAAATTTCAGATGCAGACATACGTGCAAGCTCGTCTTCTAATGTCTAAATTTAAGGGATGTTGTGCATGCGTGAAATCGGCTAGTCTTGCATTATTCTACTAATCCAAAAAGCAGAGGTGTTTTAGTTGTAATGACAGCACTAACTCAAAAGTTATACTACTATTTAGAAATGTCAACTGACATGGACAACAGCATCACAATGCATCATCTGTGTAAGGCTGTTTATTTGAGCTGCTGTGCAACACTCAACCCCTACGACACCATAATGTATACAGACCGTTAGCAGGTTAAGGAGGGTTAAGATGCAGATGAAATACTATCATGAGCTTGTCTTTGAAGAGTAAATCACAGTGTAGCTGAGCTCCCCCAAGGTCTTGTCCTGCCACGCGCGGCATGCCCCATATCCTGATGGGGTCACCTTCGCTGTTTGACAGGTTTTATCTCAGGAATACTAAACACACACAGACAAATAATAAAGGAAACTTCTGCAGGGTACCCTTTGACACCAAAGGCCAAAAGACAACATGTGTGGTATCAAAATCTGTTGTGCTGACAGGCGTGCATCTATAGAGTCGATTTCCACTGTGGCAGATCTAAGATATGGAGTTGGCGTTGTAGCAAGCCTAATGAAGCTAAAAATATTAAAGTTTCAAGCAGAGTTTTTTAGTTTTGGTACAATACCCAGCAAGAGAGCACTTTCATTTCTCAGACCCATGCTGTGTTGAGTCTAACATTTAGACAGGCAGGTTCCAGGGTGATAACAAGTCTTGTTTTAACCAGATGGTCTATTGTAACAGCTGCCACTTCAGCTATTGATAAAGGCGCAATTCAGCCGTGTGCGAGATATAGAGGCACCAGGCTTCTGACCTTCCTGGACTGCTAAACAAAAACCCCTGGACTTTGCAAAACTTCTCTGGCTCAGCAAATTGCAGTTTTATAATGAGCTGTTAAATTCCACACAGATTAAATATCCCAGTGAGATTTTGGTAGCTTAAACTAGAGGTTTGGAGCTGGAATGTTTTGGCTACCAGCGAGATTACCTGCTATGTGGTCTCCCACTTGCTAATTACGTAAAGAAGCAATTCACTTTCAGTGGAGATCAGACGACTCAGATCTGTTTGAGTTTTAGAATCAAGTAATTCAAGCCCAGAGTCTTATATTTAGAGCTTTCAACCCCCTCATCCAGTGCAATGACTCGACAGAAGCCAGAAATATTAAAAATGTTTGTTTTTTTTCCATCTAATGTTAGAAATGGCGTCAGCATGCTTTCCATCTTTACTAAATGTACTAAGTGACTCTGCATATTTCCAAAATGGAACAAATGTGTTAAGGTTGGCACAGCAGAGTGTGTGTACCATGCTGACGTAAGCCCAACAAGAGCTGTGACTCACCAAGTCATGTGAAGACATCCAGACAAATCCAAACACCACCAGAAAAGGCACCAAGTGTCCAAATACATAAGCCAGTAGAATATCTAAGCATTGACATTCAGATGCAAATAAGTAAATTAATGGGAAAAATTGATTTTGAAGGCCTTAAAAATATCCCAGGTTGCTCAATATCACCCAACTGTGGAGACACGACCAGCAGTTTCAAGACAGGAGTTGTATGATTCTCCTTAATCAACAAAAGAGTTCATTTAATGAAGGAGTTATTTTTGAAGAAAAACATACACCTCACTTTCATCTTATTAGATATCCTCTTGACACTGGTATTATTTTTTTATTAACTATTTGAGTTGCACTCACACTATATTTATCATCATGTATTTGATTTGTAAATGTAAATACAGATTATAAGTAGGTTTCTGTAATCTCTGAAATATGTAATAGTCAGATGTATTACCTGCTCTTACTTATGCACAGTAATATCATCCTAGGTGTATGAAAACTATACCTGCTTTTGAAAAAACTAATTATCAGCAGTATACACAAAAAGGTGCTGAAGGACTAAAAAAGGCGCAAAGGACAACAAGGATCAAGCAATTACAAAAAGCCTTCAATCACAGATTAATATTTAAACACACAGATAACTTAAGTCTGTCATCATTCAAAGATGAATGAATGCCGTCATGGTAAAAATACATTCCCTAAAAGCATTGTTGGAATGAATGCACATCAGGTCCAAGTAGTTCAGAGGCCTGTGCCAGATTTCCCTTCATAGATTCCGAGCTGTCTGCTCCCAGCATGCCAAGCTGTCATGTCCTTGTTCACTTCCTGCCCCTCATAGGATGCCCTGTTCCCAGGCTTAAAATGCTTCCTGATTTAGCTCAACCTGGGTTTGTCGTAAGAAATTAAACACACAGTGAGAAGAGAGCCAACAATGACAACATGAGCACTGTGTGGCACTGCCTTCATACGCAACTCAACTTGAGCTGCGTTTCATGCCTCTGGGAACAAAAAAAAGAAAAGAAAAGAAAAGAAAAAAAGCAAGAAATAAAAAAGAAAATGAAATTTACAGGGTTTAACTGTTCATTGCTTGTATGCATAGGTGAAGGTCGGTACAGGTGGAGTTGGTCATGCACGGGTCGTCCTTCGTGGGGCAGTGAGCAGGACTCAGTAAATGAGTGTAGCAGAGGCACTGGGGGTATATCAAATTGCACTCTGTGAGAAAGAATGCTCCCTCAGGTCATAAATCAGAGATGGGGCAGACTTTCGCGCCTTTCTGCAGCTCAGCAGTCCTGTTTACACTGACGCAAGTGGTACTCAACACATTGCCACTAATTCCCAGCCCGTCTTTTACACACACAGTGTGCTCATTTTCCTTCAAAGTAAAAGCATGTATGAAAATAGAGGTATCCTCCACTTAAAAAGGATTATCTGAATCCAAATTTAACAGCACCAAATTAGAGTAAACCAGGCTTGTTGGCTGCAAATCTTACTTAAACTTGGAATTTCATGTTCTGCTAACAGCAGTGTGTCTCATTCAGCTGTTCCTACATTTTATTTTACAAATGCATTTTAGCATATTGCAAGAAGACTGAAGCACAACCCTTTGGAAAGCAGAGCAGTCATGCTTGAACTAATGGTTTAACAGTCCTTCACTAAAGTGATAAATTATTCTGAACAAATTCCTGCAGGTAAAATAAACTGGGAATAAATATCAGAGGGGTTCTGTTTAAGATCAGTCTGAAAGGACAACCAACTCAGGAAAACAACATTTGGACTATAAATTTCAACACAATTTCCTCAGAAGATCTACTGAAATGAGGAGCCCCACAACAAACACAAGCAAGGTGTCCAGCAAATAATTCATGGCAGCCTGTGCAAGCATTCGTCAACTGCATTGAGACAGACACTAATAACTTTCTAGCCCTGTTAACAGCCCTCATGTTGTTAGGCCGTGCAAAAATAAACACAAGAGGTGCTGGTTTTAAAGGGACTGTTCAAACGTAATTCGTTAATGAAACTGGATCAGGCTAGTCTTTATCAATGCAAGTCAAGACAAAGCCTAAACACTGTTCAAATCTTAAAATTACAACTTTATTAGTCAAAAGACGAAAAAGAATTTAGGTCTGCTTGGATGGTGTTTGTGTGCAAATGCTTATGGGAGTTCCTGCGTGTAAGAGGCTTAAGTGTGCTCTAAAATAACAAAAACAAAATAATGAGCAATGCTGGCCAAGAGAACCTGTGTGGCCAACTTACTTGGAGCCTGTGAGGATCATGCTCCAATTTTTACAGTAACAGAAAACCCCTCTCCAGACTTTGAACACAGCAACCACCAAGCACATAATAGACAAAGCAGTTTTTCTCTAAAGATAGATTCCTGAATATGTTAACCTCTGTGCCCTTGGGCTTTTAAACAGGATGTCAGAGATATTATGTAGTGTTTGATTTCTTCCTCTGCACCCTTCATCAGCTCAGTGACACTCCCTTTTTCAGCCCTATCTGCTCAGAACAGGAAATCATGACTCCATTCTGGACTAATCCCAGTGAGTACCTAAACAAAGGATAACCTTCAAAAATTAAGACTCCTCCCGAGCTTGTCATTTTCATTATAAGCTTCTCAGTACTACATGAATATCTAATGATTACAAATTTAGAGAGACAACTCTTCTGTATTATGCTTTTGCATATTATTTGAAATGTGTGTCACACATACCCGTTTTGGGGTGTGATGCACAGCACAATGTGGTAGCAAGTGAAGCTTTACAAAACACATCCAGCAACAGTCAGTGGCTCAAAAACTACAGGGCACGTAGACGTAGAGGGTCTGAAAGTTGCCTTATCCACAGCCTTGTGATCCCCACCATCAGGTTATCCCAGTGGAGTTCTCCTGATAACAGAGTCTTGCTGATAACAGTACCCCAGGACATGCACTACCCTGGATGATGCTGTAAGCTACCTCATTACTCCAGCGGCTACTGGCCTATCACAAGAACGTCACCACTTCAGCGGCACCTAACCAGCTACGAAGCCCCTGGTTATCACTACTGTAGACAGCAATCTACAGGATCCAGACTGTGTTTGGCATATTGAAATGAGAAGACCGTCGTCTGTCCTGAAATGGTCAGATGCACAAAAAGTTGCCACCCCCCCTCCACCCACCTAAAGACAATCACTGAAAAAACTGAGTGCAAAGAGCCCATATTTAGTGTTTTTTATGAGAGTTGTGAAGGCAAGGACACAAAAGAACACTTAAGCAGTCATCTTTAGTGCAATGAGGAGCCATTGTGATTTTTCCTGAAAGAACAACTGAAATTTGAGCGACTGAAGTCCATCCATGCTTAATTTCATGTCCTTTGGTACATTTTCTGAAATAAATCTGAGAAGTAGAGGTAAGATGTATTTTTTTTTTTTACTCTAATTGCCTGGAAACCTTCACCAGCGCAGATGGTGTAAACATCACTATTAAGGATTTCTCAGATGCTAGGCTACAGGACCAGATTTTTGTCTTTTTGTGAACTCAAAGAGTTTATCAGGTGAACCCAGGTAAACTGATTATGTTTTTTGGGGGGTGATTTTTTGTAAATGTTCAAAATCTTAACATCGATACAAAGTTTCCATCATATTGACTCTGATATGCATGCATCTATTACATTGTGTCATTATATAAACGTCTGGGCAAACTTTGATAACATGCATTTCTTTCTGAATTAGGGAATGAGTTAATGAGTACAGCACACAAAATGTTTGGCAGCGATGTAAATATACAAATGATTGACAAATGATGACAATTTAATTGAAAAATAAATAAATATTTGAAGTTCAAATCTAGGTCAAGTACTAATATTTTGTGCCTCACCTGGTTCCTCCAAAGAGGATGATTCGATCTCCAACCATACAACAGCACTGACGCCTCCGAGGGCATGGGCCTTTCCCTTTAGGTTCAACTTTCTTCCATGTGAAGTTTTCTAGTGTGTACACATAAGGCAAAAATAAATTTGATTATATTAAAAGTTATATTTTATATAAAAAATAAGAATAGATAAAAAGAATGGGCATAGATACAATGACAGATTTCTTTGGAAATGTATCTGCAGCACAATAAATCTAAACTACAAGAGGTTACGTCATACCAGCTAAACTAGAAGAGTTTCTCACTATGCCTGCTGTTTATTCAGCTTCCTAAAAATATTAAACGACAAGGCTCTAAGATAAAGGAATATTTATAAAGAAATAAAAATAAGAGACAGGGGGGTTAACCTTCAACACAAAATCTTACATTTCAAAAATAGAAACAAATCCTCTATGAAGTGCATGCAACGTAAGCGACGATGTTGAAGCTCACTCACTTGTTCCATATAAGGATGAACTGTCTCAGACCCAAACAGCATCACTGCATCTCTATAGCAACAGGCCATTCAGACCCTTAGATAATTATGACTAAAATTAAAGTGCTGCCACCTAGCGAACTGCAGAGCACATTTAAATGGCAACTGAAGAAATCAGCTTTAAATAGCACAGGCACATAAGATCATATCCACTACAAAAAAAGACCAAATCCTCAAATAAACTAGAGAAGAGTTTAGAAAACACCTATGGCTGTCCTTGTCCAAATTCCCTGCCAATGTTTCCCAACACATCACTACATTAATGATCTACTTTTAATATGATTCAACACCATGTGCAACTGCTGCCACAATGGTTTTCTCTAGTTACAACTAGAAATGGCAGTTGGGAGACAATTAAACATAAATTAATTAAAACAATGGACTTTTAGCTAGTGCCTGGTATTACCTTTGTCATTTATTTCCTGACACAAAAATAGTATCAGATAATATAGTGCTAACAAACACCATTTAGGACACCAAATTATCAACGAGTTTACCACAGGTGTGTTGCTTCATCAATGACTATGTTTAGCATGTAACAAGAGCCTGAGGCTTTCTTCCAGAAAAACTCCTAAACCAATTTGAAATGCAATCAGGTAACATTCATCAGCAACTGAATGGGCTGTCATTCCAGCATCTGTGTTGCAAAATATGAAACACAGAAAGCAACTTTGTGGTGAAAAAGGAAGCAGCCAATCACCATTACGCAAATGTCAATTATGCAGCGGAGGAGGACCGGTTATTTATGCATGAAGAAATGAGAAAAGTAGGTCAACACAAGCTAGTCCTGCACTTCTTGTATTGAGGTAAATAGTCAGGGTGGAATTTAAAGAACTCTTTAAAAAAATAAAGCTACCAGGAATTAAACCCTCTAGTAGCAGTGCTCTACAGCAACAGGACAGGTTTTCCAAACCTAAATGATGTAAATATAGACTTACCTGGATTTAATTTCCAAAGGTCGTTGAAGTGTCGTTCCATATGAGAATTGTATCCTCCAAATATGTACAGCTCTCCATTGTAGGAAACTTCAAAAATAAATAAAAAGTCCAGATTAATGATATTTGAAGTATACTATAAGGAACCACTTGACCCAGATAAAGTACCTTGATTTGTTTAATCGAATAACGTTGGCAGATTATATTTGACAACACTGTTCTCACAACATCAACCCATCAGTACCAACATTCAGCACTCACAGCTTCACTAATCCAACATCTAGATGCATATAAAAGATTAGCACCTGGCCTGTAAATATATTGGAACAAACAGAACTCAAATTAAAAGAACTTAATCAGATACTGGTCTAATAACACAGTCGATTTTATGTGTGTATTTTGTGCCTTACAGGCTGAATGACTTCTGCGTCCCTCTGGTAGTGGCTGTGTTGAAGGGGTGGTCAGCCAGCAGTTAGTCTCTGTGTCAAATACTCTGATCTTGTTGCAGTAGACCTCATTGTTGGAGTGGAAGGGACCAAGACGATCTGCTCTTCCTCCAAACACGAACATTTTTGTCCCAATGATGGTAGCCGAGTGGAAGTCTCTCCAGCGTGCTGGAGTTCCCTGCAGAGCAAAGACAACACGCGATGTTACTGTTACACTCTTCCACACTCAAAGTTTTAGTGAAGAGAGAACAGAGCAGTCTACTCAGACACTGAAGTTATAGCTATTGAGAACATTTTTGGTAAAACTTAATTTACTGTCTTTATTAAATCTAAAATTTCATCAAGTTATGTTGATCATAAGCCTTGGTATAGAATTCATCTTCCTAAAATATTACAGATCTTATTCCCTGGGATAAGAAAAAAATCATAATATTCAAAACAAAACCATTACATGTCAGAAACAACTCTTATATTCAATATAAAGGGACAGTGTTGAAGCTCATTTGTTCCATATAAATGATCAACCATCTCAGGCATTTTGCCCAGGAAAAAACAAAGCAATTTCAGGTAAACACTGCCATCTAGTGGATCAGTTTTCCAACTACAAAACCACAGTGAATCCCAAACCTCCCCCAGGCACCACCATCCCTTTTCAAAGTGATAGTTGGGTCCAGTCAGCCCAGTCATTGGGATAGTGTAAACAATTTAATGGGAGTAAGACACAGAATCATAATCAAGATATATGAACTATATACCAGTCATACCAGAAATATGACTGAAACAGGACCTGCTCTCACATACTGCAACCAACTCTAACAGAGGCAAACCTCACTTTACATGTCACTGCCCTGTAGTCATGCCAAAGTCTTCCACAAGCCTTCCTTTCAGGAATGTGCTGCCAATGTCTAACCATGAACTTTATGCAGACAGGGGGGCTTTTTAAATCTTTAACATGGTTGAAAGAATACCAGAACCAATACTGAAAAGTGAATTTTACACATGCAAATGAAAAAATACAAACGCTAAATGATCCCAAAGTTCAAAGGGGAAAAAAGCAAGTGAGTAACAGCACAGAAGTTTTCATTTTCCTAAAGAGGAATGCAATCCTAAGTATTATTCAGTCACATGCACCGCTAAATCTGTAAGCACCACAGTCCAATCTCCTTACTGACAACATGGCTGTAACTAAAAGTGAATGGATTGACTTCCGCCACAGTAACTCTGTCATATGATGACTAAAATATACTTTACAAGCGTTTAATCCCATGAGCATGTTGACTGCATAAACACAAATAGTATTTGCTAAAAGGAGACTGTATATAATCCAGTGTGAGGCTTTTTGAACTTGCCTAGCAGGAAGCTGCTTTGAAATTCCACACTGCAGTGCTTTTATAACATGCCAATATACCCACAGGGAACTTGTGTTGCTGATGTTCAGCTGTGTCATCTTTGTTTTTATGAGAGGGTTCCCTGTTTGTTTGTTAGGAGAATTATTTTGAATGCTCAATACAGAAACACTGTCAAGGAATAAACAACAACGGTTGAAAAGCAACAGCTAGTGACTTAACTCACTCTGGCATTAATTAGTGACCAAACCATGGTAGTGGTATCCAGTTTGTGGATGTCATTGGAGAAACAGTCAGCCTAAAATAAATAAATAAAAAAAGATTCATTTTTAATGTTCACAGAGAAAGTTCGTGTAAGCAAAAATAAATCAAAAATCAAACTCACCAGCTGCTCATATCCTCCAAATATATACATTGCCTTTCCCAGGACACAGGCAGAGTGGCCGTCCCGCGCCCCTGGAACAGTCCCTGAAGTCCTGGGTGTGTACCATCTGTGAGTATCTGTGAAGCAGTTGCAGTTGTTCAATATTGAGATCAGAGTACTTGCGTTACATGCAATGGAAAACTATCACACGCATGCAGGTGCTACAGCTTTCTTAATATAAAACAGTTCCTCTACTTTTTGTTGTCACAATTTTAACTTCAAACAGGTTCATCTCAAAGGAAATACACCCTGAAACTCTCAGCAGAACGAGTTAGACAAAGGTCTACTTACTGACATCAAAAGCATAGAGCACATTGCAGGCCCCCTCTGTGTCATTACGCCCGCCCCAGAGGTAGATAGTATCATCCAGCAGCACAGCTGTGTGGCCATAACGCATATATGGCACTTCACGGACACGTTCAAGTCCTATAATCCTCACTGGAGGCAGCTTTATCCAGCGCAATGACACTAAAAAACACAAAAAGTAAACATTTCCCTTTATTAAAAAATAAATAAAATATAAAAACTTAATGAAAGAACATTTTTTAAAAATTAAATTAAAAACAAACACATACAAAAACAATGCTGCCTGACAAGTTTTACTTGATACTTACTGTGTTACAAAGGAAGTTCTACATATTCGGTTATTCGCATATTTTTTTTTTTTTAAAAATGGAAATTAGGTTGGTAGTCAGTAATTTATTTTATTATTTTTCTTGCTCTGAGAGGTTAAAATGCTAAAAATGTAAAATTTGTTAACGTGCCTACAACTCTCTCACAGTGAGCTTTCAGTACAGTTCACATCACTTTAATAATAAAAAGTACCATGAAGAAAGGAAAAAAATTAGAATCGGTTTTTATCTGGGTGTGAAATTAACTCACAATTGAAAATATTCTGGCATTCAGTTATAATTCCTTAACGACGTCAGTTACTGCACTTCTAAACAGATGGATGAAACTACCTATATCTTTAATTGGTCATATTAATATACCAAAAATGTCAATTTTGCCAAAATATCTTTACCTTTTTCAATCAATACTTCTCTCTCTCCACCAAACTGTTTCTTCTTAGATTTGCAAAAACTATTCTGAAACTTTATTTGGAATAACAGAAGACCAAGACTCAGAATCTCATTATTATACCTCCCTTATGAAAGAGGGGGTTTACAACTTCCAAATTTAAAGTGGTACTTCTGGGCTGCTCAAATCAGAGCGGCAATGTTTTATTTTGTTAATGAGCAAATTCCAGTGTGGGTTTCTATGGAGTCTACAGAAATCAAAATTCCCCCTAACTTATATCTTTACTCAGCCGACAGGAAGACACTAAATAAGCAAACTAAGAACCCCTTTCTAAAAAACACTATAATGATCTGCTTTGAAATACATAACTACTTGGGAGAAATGATACAACTGTCTAGGTTTACTCCGATATTTGGAAATAACAACTTTCTTCCTGGTAGGGCAGATGCAGGTTTTAAATTTTGGGTCGATCAAGGTATAAGAAAAGTGTCTGATATATTTAGGAATAATACTCTTATGTCTTTTGAACAATTTAGAAGTACTTTTTCTATTCCTGTCAAACATTTTTTTAAATTTCTTCAATTAAGAAATTTTATCTTAACCACACAAGGTAACAGCTTAGAAATCCCCACCTACTCTTCTCTAGAGAACCCAGTTATAAAGCATCTAAATGGGAGAGGCCAAGTGTCTGCATTGTACAAATTATTTATGGAAAATTCCAAAGAATCAACACAGTCTATTTTAGAGGCTTGGAGGAATGATTTTCAAATGGATATATCTGATGATGAGTGGTATAAATCATGCTCCTTGGCCCAGAGTCAGACAATTAATGTGCAATCTCGGCTACTTCAATATAAATGGTTAACAAGACAACATATTACTCCGTCAAAAATACATCATTTTAACTCAAACATCCCAGACACCTGTATTAAGTGTGGAGTGGACAGGGGCACTTTATTTCACTGTATATGGGAGTGTCCACATGTGAAAATTTTTTGGGAAAGGTAATAAATCTGTTGAGTCAAATTATTGGTGATGTGATTCCACTTCATCCTAAAATATGTATTTTAAATATATACCCGAATAATTTTGTACCTGCTGCAAACAATAGAGCTCTGTTAACGACTGGACATTAGGAAGCCAAGCGCTGTATTGCTATGTGTTGGAAAAATCCAAAAATATGTGGACTATCTCAATGGCTTAATGGACTGACATCTACACTATCTATGGAGAAAATAACTTATACATTAATAAATAAACTGGACAAGTTTTGGGCTATATGGTCAAAATTCTACAACTTTCTGGAGAACTTACACACTGTGGACTTAACAGCCTGAAACTCTAACTTGATTTGTATATCTGTCCTTCCCTTTTGTTATGGTTTGCTTTGTTTTTGTTTCTATTATTATGTTGTGGTTTTGTTTTTATTTATTTTTTTATTTATTTTTTTGCTCACGGTGCACCATGTAAAACCGGTTAAAACCAATAAATAAATGTTTAAAAAAAAAAAAAAAAAAAAAAAGAATCGGTCTTTGCAGTAAATGGGTCAAAGGGGGAAGGAGGACAAAGCAAGATGACAGGAAACTGTAGTTAAAGAGGTCCCATTTCCATTATAGTCAAAGCATTAGTTCCACAGATCTTTTCATGATACACCACTAGCAGGTAGGCTCCATCTACTTTGGGAAGTCGTAAAACCCTAAAGCAGGTGGCTGACCACACAATGGGGAAAAACCATGCAAAATGAGTTAAGGGTGTTTCTCTTAACCCATTTAAAGAAAACAGCTGTGCTTGTCTGATAGCAACTGAAAAACAACAACTGGAAAAAAAATGTTGCAAACCGCAATGAAAAGCTGGGGTTTAACTGCCAACCTGAGTGACTTTTCAGTAAAGTTGTGCACATTCAACAAATTACAACAGTTTAACCTTTCTCAATACACTGGGGGGAAAAAAAGAAGTGCTGTCCTGCCTGTCAAATAGATTTTTTTCCATCCATTTAAGATGGAAAAAAAGTGCATGAATCAATTTTACATAAACACCAATATAGTCTTTTTCCAGAATACCCTTTAATATTTTTTTTTTTTAACCTAAACACTTTTACAAATCAAACAATGGATCTCTACACACACACACACATTTACCACATACCTGTGTTGAAGACGTGCACATCAATCTGACGAAGTGTCTCATAGTCCTCCCCGGAGCAGTAGCCTCCAAAGGAGTACACCTTGTGACCCACTGCCACAGCAGCATGGTTGACTCTCCGTGGCCCTCCTTCTAGGTGCACAGTCCAGCGCAACATTCCCCACTTCTGTGACTGTGGGCGCTTAGACCATCACTCTGATGTTCCCATTAAACTAAGGCCATTAAAACCTGTGACCACAACAAGGGTAGTAGCAGCACTCTGCTAAAGAGAACAACAGGGTAAGTTGTGAGTGGGTAATCAAGGACAACAAAGGGTAACTGTTGTTCCCTTGGGCTAACCTCAGCTCTGCTGTTGCTGACAGGTACAAGCCCCTGTATCTATGCTTGCAGGGTATTTTAAGAGGTGATTAGACCTACACTTACCACGCCTTTCTATTCACTCTTCACTTTGTACCCACCCACTGCACTACAATGAGTTTAAAGTCAGTATACATGTGCCTCCTTTAGGCAGTACTATAGGAACACAAAACACTGCCACACTACTCAAGGAGATTGCTCAATCTATACACAGTATTGAAATCCTGCCAATTTAATATTTGTGAGTGTTTCTATTGTTTTTTTCTTAAAAACAAATACAACCATAATTTTCCTATTTTATCCATAACGATTGACAAAACTGAAGTACACCTGCAACTCTTAGAACACTTAGAAACATTTCCAAAGCAACATTTTCAGCTCTGAACAGTGAAATTTAAGTGATATAAAACGCTACTTGTTAAACACAAGTAACTCTGCCTCTCCCCTTGCTTATTCTGTCCCTGTGACACACTTTACCACTGACCTCCAACCTTTGTTTACCGTTAAAAATAAAACCTCCCTAGAGCACCATTTAACATAGACCTATTTCAAGCCCACATATCTATGGGGAGCAACAGAAGCACAAATCTAGTCACCAGGCATGTGAACCTTAACTGGAGCCAATATTTTCGATGATTGCACTATGTGCACTATGGGTAAATTGACACCCCAACATGCAAATACAGTTAAACCGTTTAGCCTTTCCCAGGTTATTCAAAATTAGCAGTATAAGTGCACACAGTTTCCTTTATACATACTTAATACTCATCTCGAATAATTTGCTATACAATTAGACAACATGAACATTTTGCAAGAGCCGAGCTGAGTAGAAAGCACCTTCTATCCCCCTGTCCTATTGAACAGTGCACTGTTGACATGAGATGACTAACAACGGTGCTTCAAAGTACACAGCGGCTATCAAGTAAATAAGACTCGTTTGTAAATGGGTGCATACTTCTGCACAGATCTCGACTGACTGAAGCACAAACTGTTGACAGATGAAGCTAATCTAAAGCTGGTGACATTGAGCTGTAACAGGTATAACACCCAGTGGACGCCTCACATGCTAGCTAGCTTTGCTCTTTAGCTAACGTTAACAGGCATAACAACAACCTTTTGAGGCGCACTGGGTAGCCGCCGCGGTCGCTTATCTCTCAACATCACCACCACAGTAACGAATATGGTGCTACTGCAAACAGCTGTTTGACAGCCAAGGTGCTAGGCTTTGAGAGGCTAGGTTAAAGCTAAACAGTCGAAGCTAACTATTTAGCTGTTAGCAAGCTAACGTAAACTCTAAACAAATGACAGACAACTTGTAACACAAAGGCATTCACTCCCAGCTTTGGCAAAGTTACGAGTTAGTCAAGTAAAACAAAATAACATTCATATATGTTCAATTTGTCTACCTTCGAGCCGGTTGTGGTTGACAGGCAGACAGGCAGCCAGGCAGGGCTATCCCCCGAGAGCCCCTACCAAGCGTGATGGAACGAGAAGTTATCGCGAGCACCCCCTGTCGGCTGTTTTATACTTGGGGAAAGCACGCACGTGAGTCTTTCTGCTTTAAAAACAGATGGATTTACTAACTGCCGTGCTAAGTGCAAAATAGGTCAGCGGTTGCATTTTTTCGACACCGTTTTTGCATAGCACAGAGAGAAGTTAGAGTTGAGTGTCTTGCTGTAACTGTGATGTTATGCAGAATAGCCGGATTAACCTGTTAGGTGACCCAGAAGCTTAACGTTTTTGTCATCCACGTGGTGTGATCACATAATAATGTCACCAGTTACTATAACAATGAAAATTTTTAACATGTAAATGAAAATATGCCAAGATTGCAATCACAATGTCATCCAGGAAAGCTGATTTTTTTTTTTTTTTTTAGGGTTCATTGCAGTCACTGCTTAAAGGCTCTCCCGTCAAGATAAACTATCTGATGGATATCTGTTTGACACACTCCATTCAAAAATTTACATGAATGCGGAAATATAAAATATATTCAGCAAATGCAGTCTTCCTATTTAAACAGTAAAACAGTTACTGGATTTTTTTTCATGTGTATCCATCTACTATACCCGTTAACAGCAATGGATATGTGTATTGATTAATAGCTCACTGTTTGTCTTTTTCAGTCTGATGGTCCAACATTCAAATCTAGGCCATTCTCCCAGTGCAACAAAGGGAGGCCGGAGAAATAATTTACACAAGAAACAGAGAAACAGAAGAGCAAAACTCAACCTGTTATTGGCAAGTTCTCTGTCAGAAGTGATAAAACTTCCTTTAAAGTCATACTTACATTTGAACATACTAATAACAAAACAATCAAGACCTTCTTGACACTATGTTTTGTGGCTTGTATTACTGTGTCCAAACAAGTTTGATTTTTGGTTCAACAACATTTTCATATCTTTCTTTATCAAGAAGTACTTTCCTAATATGCTAAACAACCCTCAGTTCTTTACATTTTACTTCCAAGAAGCCTCAAGGGATGAACCACTGCAGTGGCTACACATAACTTAATTTAAGAAACAAATGCAGTGTGTCCTTAAAAATTTGAGGGAATTGAAAATGGAGGACAAAAGAAGAGCCAGACCGAAAGCTCTTCTACAGTGTGTCTTTTGCCCTGTCTTCTGCTCCAACTGGTTGTGGCAGATAGCTGCCCATCCCTGAACCACATGACTCTGCTGAAGGTTTCTTCCTGTTAAAAGGGGGTTTTTCTTCCCACTGTCACCAAGTGCTTGCTCATAGGGGATCGTTTGATTCTTGGGGTTTTGTCTGTAGCATTGTAAGGTCTTATGAGGTCTTACAGATTGCTGTTGTGATTTAATTATTATATAAATAAAACTGAACTGAAATGAATAGGTTCACTAGCCACACCCAGGCCTGATTAGCAATCGTTAAATAGAACCTGTCTGACAAAGTAAAGCAAGTTCAAAATCACAACAAGCACCGCATTATGCCACAAATATGTAAGTGCTACAAATATTTATTTTTTTTAAAAGGGCGCCAGGAACGGGTCAAATACTTTTTCACAGCCCGGCATGCTTGTACATATTTCAATAAATACTGCATCTAGTTCCCATTTTCTTAGCAATATATAAAGAAATGAGGTGCGTTAAGACCTTTCTAAAGTACTGTAAATTTATGTCACAGACTGTTTTTAACTTTTAAGCAAGTATCTGTCCTTTCATAAAAAGGCTTCTAGAAATCCTTGTAATTGAACAATTTGCAAATTCTGAATGCTTTTTGTTTAAATGCTCTAAGCTCATAATTTAAGGTGTCATAAATACAAATGATGTGGAATTGCTGCTTTAAACAAATATAACACTGCAACTGAAAATGAACAAGCAAGGTGATGAAACGCCATTGTGTTTGATACTGTTGTGACCCAGACGAGTATTTATGTGACATGCACAGTAGCGTGACTAGAGCAGTAGATGGCACTGTTGAATTGCAAGGTTAACAGATACCCATCACACAGCCTCCTGCCCAAAAGACTGTGAATCCCTGTCATACCCTAGTGTACTGTTTCCTACCCCAGTATTTGGTCATATATTGTGACCAGCTTATTCATTGGGTCTGGTTGAGAAGCTCTTGGGCAGCAAATTTAATCTGATAATAATAATTTGATACTGTTTGCATGACAGCCATTCATAAGGCCTGGCAGAGCATGAGCATTTTGTATGGAGCATCCCAGGAAATATCAGTGTTACACTGTCAGCATAGTAGTCACATATAAACAAAGGCTGAAACCCAGCTTGCCTGGCACTAAACCAGTGTACTTAACCACAAAATAAGGCTAACAACCTCAGCTTATCCCAATATAATAATGTGGTCAAATCGGTGAGTTCTTGCATATCTATTTATGTTTGATATAGAGAAAAGCCCTTCATGTTGCAACTTGCAAGCACTGGATCCAAGTCAATGCTGTCAATAAATAAGAATGTGCTCCTGGGAAGCTTGCCTGGGTTAGAGAACAAAATAGCTTTCATCTGAGGTTCATATGGACGTGGCTGACTTAATTCCTACTGTAACTGAGGGCCAGGTGATGGGGCCGGGGGTAAATGTGAGCAATTAACTTGTTATTTTGGTATGTTCAGCCTATCATATATACTAGCGAATTTTACTGAAAACCACAAAACGGCCTGTTTCACACGTCCACACTGTGAGTATGACACACTATGCAATTTTATTATCCTGCCTAAATGTTCAAAGGTATAGAATTACAGGGGTGGGTTAAGTGTGATCAGCTTGGTTTCAAATGTTCAGACTGATATGAAAGGAGTCTCATAAAAGGATTATGGCACTGAGGATCCATATTACAGCTGCTACGGATCTGACCGCATCACTGCCCAGGTCCGAGTCCACTCAGGAGGGGCTCTGATTGATTCACTGTGTGTAGGCATTCCAGCCCTGCGCCAGCTGCACGTCACGCACAATGGTGAGATTGTGCCTGCGGCTGTCCAAAGACAGCTGGTCATGGCTGCCCCTCGGAGCTCTGATAGGTGATTAGAGAGATATCTGAAACTTTGTTGCTGCTGTAATTTTGTCAGCTGACATTAAAGCATATTTCATACTGTTTTTTTTCCTTCATCTTGACCTGTTACATGCAACTGAAAACTTTAAAATGAAATCTGACAGTCTGATCTGGTGATCCTGAAAGCTGTCTACTCGACAGTTCTTTATTATGCTCTGACTGACATTACACATTTACAGCTAGATGATGTTATGGTCTGGAAGCAGCCCCAGGAATTTCAACTTGGCTGTTTTTTGAAATGATGACATGTCTGCAGCACATGTAAGGTAATTGTTTTATTTTTCTACTTGTACAGTCAACCTTCATACTGTATATTGTGGAAAACAATACGCCTGTATACTACGGAGGAATACTATTAGTTTTTGTGTGTGTTCTAGACATAATCTGTTTTTTTTTTAAGTGAACAGAGAGCCCACCCTAGTGAAAGTGTTTCTTGCAGCTACACCCAGTCTGCCTGCCTAAAAAAAAAGAAGAAAAAATCCCAGCCTCCCATCCCACCTGTCAGCGTTTGCACAGATTGCGTCACCCATCTGCCCTGCTGAGCCATTCTTTGACACATTTGCTTAGTGGCGTCCTTTACAAACTTTATAGCCAGCACATGTGTGTGTGCGTGTCTGCTTTGACATAGGGAACAGAAGTTGCCCAACTGCAGCATAGCTCCGCAAATCAACAACAACTGCTAAAACCCAACTGTTGTTCGCTATTCTCGGGCAGGCCCGGTGATGGAAGAGCTTTGCAATGCTTTTTGTGGCCGAGAAAAATACAGCTTTTGCGTAGAAGCGGCTCATTCGGTTAACCTTTTTCTTTACCATGGGGTATAAAACTTCTAAGTGTGCTGTTATTATGAACAGTAAAACCAGCTCCATGCAAAATAAACCAATTTATATAAAAGGAAAGGGGGAAGAAGGTTTTTTTTTTTATATAATGTTGACCTGAAAAACAAACACTAATTTAATATACTTTTGTAACATTACTCCTTTCTGCCTCACGTTTGTGTTAAATTAGTGCATGGGTCTTGCCAGAAAATGTTAATATGTTTTACATTATTATGGACCTGCTCCTGATCTTCTTTCATAGTTTCCACTACGTGTTTTCACTGCATGGGTCTAAGTTAAGGAACATTCTTACAGTCATAGTGTTGTTTGAGCATTCTCCCAAAATGTCCAATCCTATGCATCCACAAGCTATCAGTGCTTTGCTACGGAGTGCCGGCAGGATCTCCGGATGTTTAACGTACGGATTTGACTTCCGCCGTAGCTCGATTAGGTAAGCAGTATTGAGCAGTCCAGAATGATGTCATAGAGCATGATCTAACTCTGTGGCCAGATGACTGAATCATACATTTTCCTTTAATTTCGGGGTTATTAAATGAACAGAGCTCCTCTCTGTGAGTCTCTAAAGAAGACGATTGGTATGCGCCTTAGGTAATTTTCTCGCTTATGGTTCATTTGATTTGCTCTGAATTAAGAGAAAAATTAGTACTTTGTAGCAGCATTTATTAGTTAGGCTGTGTTTCCAATTACCAATTAAGTAACAAGCTGTATTTTATAAGGAAAGTCATGTGGCGGTGCAGGGAGGCGGGTTATTGGACAAAGCTTAAAATCCTAAACAGATGAGTGATTTAATAGCGCATTATCATTTCCACACTGGTCATAAAAAACGCAAAAATGCTTTGGCAGCAGCCAAGATGGGGGAAGAGTAGGATCAAACCGATCTGACCATTCTGTACTTCACCTCAGATCCTCTCTATGGGAAGAAGATCGCTTAATACAGAATGCTGATTGTAATCTTTTGCCCACAGTCTGCACATTTTCTAAAGGTTTTCTCTAGCTTCTTTATCTCTTTCAAGGTTGGTCTGAGTGATGCTGTTGGATAGAATAGAGAGAAGTTTGTCTGTGGTCTTCTCACCTCCCAAATTAAAAAAAACAACAACAAAAAATTCCAACAATTAAAGACAGAAGTGTTCCT